GCATTACATCATTTTTCCCCTTTCTCTCTCTCATACACACCCACCCACACACACCACACCACACCTTTCTTCCATCATGAAACTCAAGGGCCAAGTAAGTGGAATTCTCAGGTGGTCTCTTCCCCCTGCCCCACCAGGCACTGCTGCATCATGTGATTTTTCATTCCATAGTCCTGTCATTTGGATGCAAACATTAGCTGAACCTTAATTGTCGTCTGATTCACAGTCTCTTTCTCTCTCTGCCCCCCTCCTCAGTTAGCCTTTATCCCTGACTCGTACCCACATTGCATGCATATTATACATGCCTACCAGGCTGCTCAAATACAAAACTGCACTGTGTGCGCAAATAAATGTACAGACAGAGATCAGATTGTAATAGCTAAACTAAATCAAATAATTGTTTTCTTTCCCCCGAAGGTGAAAGCAAACAAACATAGATTCCTGAGAATCCTGCTATTACAACTCATTTTATTTATCCCTCCCAATTTAGTAATTTTGCATACTCTAGATTTTCTTCTCATCCCTCTTCTAATTTTGTGGTCCTCTTGCTGTCTAGCTAGCTTCCTTTCTCTGTCTCCTTTCTCCTCCTTATATCTTTCTCATGGCTTCTTTAGGACAGAATTATATGATAGCCAGTGTGTTTGGTTCACTTGCTCTTTTCTCCTGCATTGCCCTGGTCTGGTCTTGTGGAGGAGGCCACAGAGCAAGGCAGATCCATTGTTGCAGCACCATGGACAGCAACTAGCGCTGGAAGTGACTTGAGCACTTGTGAGTCTCTCCCATCTCTTCGCCTAGACTGTGCCCCCTTATGGGGAACTTGGAGCAGTGGCTCCTAAATTTTTTTTTCAGAGAACCCTTTTGGTTCCATGAACTCAATCCCCATGCCCCCACGCCCTCCAGCCTACCCTATAGAAAGCATTATTCAGAACACTGAGTTGCACAACCGACTAAGGAAGGCAATAACACAATAGAATTCAAAGCAGTAACAATTAATTACACATTTTGTCAAAATCCAGTTAAAAGTATTTAGTTTAATTAATTCAACTAAACTGGTGAACTTGATCCAATGATACCAGTTTTTCTAAATCTGATAGACATTTATACCTCCAGTGCCCCCTGCCCACCTTTCCTTTTAGTACCCCTTGGTAATCCCACTGCTCTCAAGGGGCATTATTACCCAATTTGGGGGCCACTGCCTTAAAGGGTTGACCCTGTGGCCTGAAGATGGGCATGTCTTCTGCATCTCTGGTATGCTACCTGTTCCCCTAGATTGGTGGTGTCCTGTAGAAGGTATTCAGTTCCTCACAATGAATGGAAGGCATTTGTGAGGGCTCTGACGTCGGTCCTACACAGACCTTGATACTCTGTGGAATAAGGCTTGGTAGACTGTTACCTACTAGCCTTGGGTTCAGTGGTCCCTTGATCAGCAGCACCAGGCTCAGATCAAAGTACCCAGCTTGGCTCCTTAACTGGTGACACCATAGCCTCTAACACTGTGCTCTGGTCACTGCCAGACTCTGGGTACATGACACCCATCAAGGTTAGTGGTGTGATCTGAGGATGTCTCATCATGCATTTTAGCACCTTTAATTGGTTTCTGCTCCTGCAGGTGGAGATGGCTTCACATGTTTTGTGTCACTGAATGTCACGGAAAGAGGGAGAGAGAGGAAATGCAGGCCCCCCAATCGTGGCAAACAGCTGTACACGGGCCATACGTGAAGTGGTTTGTAATTCTTATACAATGCATTTTAGGTTCTTTCAGAAGCGTGTAATGATAATGAAGTTGAGGATTGTAAGTTTTCTGATTTAGCAACCTGGTAGGTGAGATAGAACTATGAATTTTTTTTAAAGGGGAGAGGAGAGAAAAAATAAAAAATCATGCCCAGTTCGGTTTTTGTAAGAGATTAACTTAGGTGACAAGCCTATGTCATTTATCAGTAAACGGGGTGGGGAATGGCTGTATTAGTAATCCACCCACCTTCCCCATTTTGTATAATGATCTTGAGCTAATTAAACTAGCTCTGGCTGGAGGAAAGAGATCAGAATGGTAGTGCTTGATGACTCATTTTATTAAAACTTCACCATGCATTAATAGAATATTATGGAAGGTTCTCTGCATGGAAAGTACTCTATCCTTACAGTCATAACTCCCCCAAGTTCTTTTCAGTTCTGTTCCTTTGCTCTGGCCTGCCTCTTTCAGAATGTTGCTTTCTATTTGTTGTTTATTGAACTTATATCCCAGCCTTTTTTCCAAGGAGCTCTAGGTTGCCTTTAATTCTCACATCATCCCAGTGAGGTAGGTTAGGCTGAGAGGCAGTGACTGGCCCAAGGTCACCCAGTGAGCTTCATGGTACAGTCAGGATTTGAACCCTGGTCTCCCAGGCCCTAGTCCAACACTCTAAACTCATGCTGCTCTAGAACAGAAGCCCTGTTCAAGCCTCCATGCACCGCCCTGCTAGGTCATCTAGCTCCACATCTTCCCCCTCCTTTTTGGGACCCACCTATCCCCTCCATGACATCTTCACAGGACTTGTAAGCGATTTACAAATATATAAGATACCAAACATCTTGTCAGTCAAATGACCCAACCAGCAATTTATATGAGCATAGTCCCTGTTGCATGATTTCTTCAGGTTGAATCTTATTTCCTGGTCAGTAGAGTAGTATGCCCTCCCTATGTGTAGCCCCCTAGACATATCTTATTTTGGATCCAAGGCTCCATTCTGCAACTCCTGGATCTTTTCCTTCCCCTTCCTCTGGATGACAGTCCTCTCTCCCTCTGTTGTTCTTGCCTGTTCCTCCCAGTCCACATTTGCTGCCCAGATTGGGCTACCACTGTTGTTTGGGTTTTAGGTCCTGCTGCCATCCATGGAGTGCTGTGCTCTTTTTGTCATTTGCCTCTGTGTGGGTTAGCCATTGCCGTAGAGACTGCAGACTTCAGTCCAACATATTGTTACATGCCACCCCAATCTCTGAGCGGTGTGAGATTCCAGGGGTTCCAGGCATGCTTTACTCAGGGTTTCCTTTTGGAAAATGAGGCATAGCTGAGACTGTTGTGTCTCTATGGTTTATTTACAACCTGGTTTTATATATACAACCTGAGCCTAAGATGAAGGGGTTTATAGCATTACACTTCAAGAGGTTCCTGCTTCTCCCATAGCTGCAGCCCTGGATTCAAACAGACACCAGCCATGGCTCTCTTTCTCCGCTTCCATCTTGCTGTGCTTAACAGACTGTCACCTCCCCACCTCAAGCTCGTCCTGCCATCTGCAATTCTAAGCTATTGCTAACAAACTCAAAGCTGGAGGAGGGGCGCCTCCCAGGAGCCCTTGGCAAAGTCTCCTCTCTCTGGCTTTCCTAATGGCCCATTACCTTTCCTGTGGCTTTGTCTTTGGCTGATTTCCCCAGGTGATTTCCTGAACACAAGAAGCTGGTTTCACCTGTATTTTAACACTTTGCAAAATCCAGTGTCTGACAGCCAATTTTAACACTCCAGACACTGAACCACCCTGAACCACCCTGGGTATAGGGTGGTATATAAATTCAATCAATCAATCAATCAATCAATCAATAAAGTAACTCACATTGGGCCCAGGAATTTAAGAGGATCTGGCACCTACAAACCCACACACACACAACTCATAACAATACCGAGCTGTTAGCTTTTGGCTCAAGGTGCAGACCTCCACCCCCATCCCAGTCGGCACTTTGTCCCAATGGGAAGAAGTTGGGGACTTTTTGGGAGATGCATCCTTTATGGGTTATGCAATTACTCAGTATGTGGATAATTACAGATGTTACATATTACACTGAGAAGTAATTTTATTGCTAATATTAACATTGCTATTAGATAATGCTGATTATATTTTGCACTGAGAGGATTGAAAAGGGGATGGCAAGAGGAGGGAGATGAGGCGAGTGCTCTTCTTTCTTGCCTGTTCTAGAAAGAAAGAAAGAAAGAAAGAAAGAGAGAGAGAGAGAGAGAGAGAGATGTGTGCTAGAGTATAGTCTTCCATTCCATAGGGGGAGAACAGCTGTGTCAGGGCTATGAAATACATTGAGAGTGATAGCATTGAATTACTGGGTGCATCTGAGGCAATGTTCACATTGTGGCAATTTCACCTCCTTCAGTAACAGAACACGCCGCCTTCTACTTTGATCATGGATGTATATTTTATTTTAAAGAGGATGGAAAGAAGACAGAGCTTTGGTTCAAAGTGTGTGTGTGTGTGTGTGTGTGTGTGTGTGTTTTTAATGCATGCCTGGTGATGATGATATTTTTCTATGAACAGCATTCTGCTGCTTTTAAACAATGAGTTGAAAGATTCCTGTTTGAGCAAGGTTGATAATGTAGAACAGTGGTTCCGAAGGCAGGAGGTGAGATTACCTGGGGAGGCTGCTAAGAGGCATGGAGGCAGCAGGGGGCCGCTGAAGGTGTAAATGACTATCAGACTTTGAAGAGCTGGCATCGCTGGATCAAATCCATCAGTTTAGTTGAATTAATTAAACCTAATAGTTTTAACCGGGTTTTGAATAAATGTGCAATTAATTGTTACAGTTCTGAGTTTTAGTTGGTTAAGCAAACTGCTATTCTAAATAATGCATTTATTTATTTATACATACATACATACATACATACATACATACCACACCTTTTTCGCAGTTGGAACTCAATATGGCTTTCATATGGTAGGGTAGGAGGCACTGGGGATGAGCTTATGGAACCAAGGGGACAGTGGCCCCAGAAAGTATAGGAACCACTGGCATAGATGGGAACCTTTTTCATCCTGAGCACCACACTTCCTTAAGGGGAACTATCCAGAGAGACACATGCCAGTGGTGGGCGGAGCCAAAGGCAAAAGTGAGTGGAGCTAGAAGGAAAAGTAGGAGGAGCAACAGGTGTGTCTTTCACCTTTGACAGTAGGCTGCATTTTAGCCACACAAATCTCAAAAGATTTCTAAATACACACATCTTTCTCTCTCCCTCTCTCCTAATTTAGGTAATCAAGAAGCATCATCATAGTCCCAGGATACAATCCGGACAGGCTTAACATTCTAGGTAGGTGTGGAGTTCATCTTGCCAAATCTCTGTGTTTGCACAATGTTTGGGAAAGTGTTAATTAGAAATGTGAACTGAATGAAATTTCTCACCCATTCCCAGGTGGAAGGAGCCCCAAATGGAGCTGCCGCTAGGTGGGATTTAGGGAAAAAATAGAAATGGGCTTTTGAGAGTAGTTGTCTGCTTTCTGATTGGTTTATTCTGACTTCAAGTATTATGATCTCATGGTGGTGGTGATCCAGGGGAAATCACATGTTTGTTGTTTGATTCTGACAATTTGGTGACACAGCCGTGAGATTTGCAGCGGCTGCCCAAAAACTGAGGAGAAATTTTAGTAAGGTTAATATTGTGAATTGCAATGTGTGTTATTTTAATGTGTTGGTTCCTTTCACCTTTCATATTTAGATATTTTCTCGTTTTTTAACCTTTGTTGTTATCATCATCATCATCAGTGCTTTTTGTCCTAAAAAAATGTTTTAGGGGTACTCTCATTAAACACTCGCTTCCATCTGAAACTCAGGAAACACCGTGACAGGAAATGAGGCCACCATCGGGGGTAGCAACAGAACTGATGGTTCACCATTCTAGAGAAGAAACTATTTTTTTTAAAAAAAGATTCAGTTTCTTGATTCACAAAATGTTTAGGGGTATGCGTACCCATGCTTCCCTCCAGAAAAAAAAACATGGATTATTATTATTATTAGTAGTAGTAGTAGTAGTAGTATAAAAGGTAAAGGGACCCCTGACTATTAGGTCCATTCATGGACGAGTCTGGGATTGCAGTGCTCATCTTGCTTTACTGGCCGAGGGAGCCGGTGTACAGCTTCCAGGTCATGTGGCCAGCATGACTAAGCCGCTTCTGGCGAACCAGAGCAGCACACGTAAACACCCTTTACCTTTCCACCGGAGTGGTACCTATTTATTTACTTGCACTGCGTGCTTTTAAACTGCTAGGTTGGCAGGATATGGGACAGAGCAATGGGAGCTAACTCTGTCGCGGGGATTCGAACCGCTGACCTTCTGATCGGCAAGCCCTAGGCTCTGTGGTTTAACCCACAGCACCACCCATGTCCCTCCCAGTAGTAGTATAGAGTAATGTAAAATTATATTTTGGTTGGTGCTGTTCTTTAATATTGTGTTAGTGTATATATTTTTTCTGTGGTTGATATGACCATGATGGTCAACACAACATCAGTAAGTTAAACATCTTTGGTGATGTGCACATTGACACTGCTAATTTAATTAGAATAGTATACTTGCTAAGGTGGAAGAGACAATGTTTAATCTCTAAAAAGAGACATGCTTTTTTTGTCCTGCAAGTTTCTGTCCATGCCTTAGAGAGTGCAAGGAGGATGCAGGAAAGGGAAGGCACTCTGTGCATGCTCTATTGTCACTGTCTAGAAGAAATGCTTATTGGTTACCAAGCCTAGGCAGTTTGCTGACCCCTGGTTAGGTTCATTTTGACACAATTGCATAACAACACAAAAGTTGTTGAGCTTTTTTTTGGCAGAGGAAATGCCAACATCTAAACATCGGTTTCTGACTGCAGTATTCCAGCTATGTCTGGGAAATTGCAGACATATGGAAACCTTCGCATAACAGCCATTTCCAAAATTACAATGCTAGTTTAACACAACTACATCAGGGTAAATACATTAATGAGACATTCTTGCTGCCATGAGTTTGCAAAAGGGAATTGCAGCATTCAAGCACCCACTAATATGGTAAACCTTGCTGTCATGTAGCTTGAGGTGACACAGGAAAACAAAGTTAATTGTCATGCCTTCTTGTGCATCCTCTCGCATGTATGCTCTCAGCAACCAACAAGACCCTTTAGTACAAGGTCCTTTTCTAACAGCACATCAGTAGTAAGAACATACAATGAGAACCACAGCAAAGGAATAATTATGAAACACACACACCAAACAGCTGTGTTGAGTTGAATAACAGATTTAGAAAATGCAGACTTTAATTAATCTGTGTTTTCTGCTGGGATTTCAGTACCATCTGATTTGCCTTTCATGGATGAAAAGTATAATTGTAGCTCCCCCCCAACACCACCTCCTTGTAGCTGCAAGTTTATCCTCCCAAGAAATTGATTCAGTTCTTCTGTTTCCTAAAGAAAGCTCAATATGAAACTAATAGTACATGGTGCAAGGCACAGATAATGGACTAGGTCTAAATGCCAGCATCGTCAGAAAGCTGGAGCAAGCGCCGCGACGTGAGGCTTTCGGAAGTGCCTCCTGTCAGTGCTGTCCGTTAACAGTTTGACATGCTGGTTTATGGATCCAGAGCTACGTCTTAAGAAATAGCATTGGTGTGGAACTTACCACTCAGTAGAATGAATTGTTTGTGCAGTAGCCCAGTTTAAAAAAAGAAGCAGCAGCATATAAAAATTTATTCTTGGAAAGGGCCTTGATCTAACATGCAGCCAGGTGTTAGTGTCAGCTTGGACTTAAGGGTTCAGCTGGCCGCAAAACTCGTTTGCTCGCTGATACAGAACTGAACTTGGGCCATAGGGCACAAAAGCCTTAATACTGTGGAATTTCAGTGCAGCAATAGGACCATCTCAAATGGAAGTATTCACAAGTAATTTCACTGTTAGGAAAGATCGACGTCAGTTTTGTTGTGCCAATTGTCTGTTCTCATTCCCAATATTCAATCACACTAGCACAGGGCTTCCCAACATTTGGCAGCATATCTGGAATTCTGAGTGTGTGTTTGTGGACGCAGCCACAAAATGATTGCTGTGAATGTGTGTCTGTTCACAAAATGGCCACTGCGGTAGGAGAGGCAAGTCAAAAAAAACATCAGGCAAATTGGTGAGAATAAAAGACAAGTAGTTTGCCTAATAGCCTAAGTGCAAGGCAAGGTGGGTGTGAACTGCAAAACATAAAACCACATGGAACCTATCTGCTCCATCAGTGTACCCATTTCACAGAAACATGCTAAGTAATTCCTCTAAAACACTTCCGAATAAAATCTTCAAAAATGTATTTGTTTGCCTCAGGTTAATAGGAAAACCATCCACCCACTCCAATCTCCTCCTCCTCCTCTGCAAACCACAAACCAAACACACTCTCTCTTTTCCTCCTAGAAATACCACCACCTGCACATACCTTTTATTTCAACACGAACACACACACACCTTTTGTCACTCAGTCCGAAACATACACATTATCTCTCTCTCACAATGCCCCACCACTCTCTCACACATCACATGCACAACATATGTTTAAAGCACTTTTATACCACTTGAACAGCTTCCCATGTTAAAAGTGCAAGGAATGGTAGCACTATCAGGGGTCTGCTAGCAACTCTCAGTACCCTTAACAAACTACAGTCATACCTCGAGTTACAGACGTTTCAGGTTGTGTTTTTTTGGGTTACGGATGTGCCGAAACCCGAAAGTACCGGAACGGGTTACTTCTGGGTTTCGGCGGTCGCGCATGTACAGAAGTGCCGAATTGCAACCCGCGCGTGCGCAGAAGCGGTGCTGCAGGGTGCGAACGCTGCAGGTTGTGAATGTGCTTCCCACACGGATCACGTTCACAACTTGAGCATCCACTGTACTGTCTCCAGGTTTCTTGCAGGGGGGGGGGTGGAGATAAAGAGACACTATTACTGGTAAAGCCTTCTAAGAATACCTTGACTGGATGGTTCAGGTGTAGCTACAGACATGTCTCTCCTTTCTCTATCTTCTCCCCTGCCTTGGAAGCCCCCTCCCCCCCATTCTCCCACACTCCCATGCATTCTCGTTGCTTCCCACTGTCGCCCCCCCACAACCCTCAAGCTTACAAGGCAGCAACAATGGTGGGTCCAGCCTGTGGAGAGCAGGTGCCCCAGCATATTTAAGGGCTTTCATGTGGCCGTTGCCTTTAAATGGCTGAAATTCAGACTTAATTGTTTATTTAGAGATGTATGCCAAGAGATGTATATATATTAGGGTAGGGGGGCAATGGGGGTAGGTATATGGAACTACAGTACTGCACCATGCTGGCTGTACCTATTTCCCATGTTGAAAGTTTTGTCCTGCAACTAATTGACTTTACAAGGAATCAACGTGACACTTAAAATTGATGTTTATTTTCATCTGATATGCATAATTTTTAGGCATTGCATTAAAATCATCACAATCATTTAAGACTTTTTAACACCGTCAAAAATAGAGGAAGTTGGTGTGAGTTTTGACATTTAAAGTAAGGGCTTCGTGTGCAAAGCCAAACATCTAGTCCAGTGTTAGGCACCCCATTTATATTCAGAGTGTAATTTCAGATGGCTGCTAATCTGAACAAGATAAAAAAAGTCATCTTGATGGACTTCAAAACTTGTTTTAATTAAGTTTCCCCTTTCATCTTACCAAAGCCCTGCATTAGTTTCTGCATTCTCTCACACAGATAAATGGGAGAAGTCCCAATTACAGAAAGACATGCACAGTCCCAACGCCACTCCCCGCCCCACAGAAGGAAGGCCAAACCAGGATTATTATCTCTGTTTTCTTGCCACTTGAGACATTAATATTGCAGAACCCCTGAGAAAGGGGGGAGCAATTATACAGACAGTGACTGGGAACATTGTGAAGGCCCTGTGAATGAGTGGCTGAGCCAGTTCATTTATTATAGAAATCCTTTGGAAACAAGGGTATATCAAAAGGGGTGTGCAGGTGAGGGAAGCTGGGTTCCCTATAGCTCAGTGGTAGAGCATCTGCTTTGCACATAGAAGATTCCCAGGCCAATCCCTGGCATCTCTAGGTAGGACTAGAAATGTTCCCTGTCTGAAATCTTGGAGAGCTGCTGCCAGTTAGTTTAGGCAAAACTGAGCTGGTATGACACAGTATAAGAGTTTGGATTTGATATCCCGCCTTTCACTCCCTTTAAGGAGTCTCAAAGCGGCTAACATTCTCCTTTCCCTTCCTCCCCCACAACAAACACTCTGTGAGGTGAGTGAGGCTGAGAGACTTCAAAGAAGTGTGACTGGCCCAAGGTCACCCAGCAGCTGCA